TGGGTGTGCAGGAGGCAGCTGATCGATGTTTCTCTCTCATCGATGTTTCTGACGCTGCGTCCCTCTTCCTTCCTCTATGTAAAATCAATAAAATATTTTTAAAAAAATTTTATACTTTGTTCTCCCTGTGTGATCTACAATAATAATCTGCTTCATGTTGATATTTACTGTTGTGTTGCTGAAAATTACCTGAAAGAGAAGTTGGGGTGCTTCACTGGGCTGGAAAAAGTTTAGCTAACTCAGAAAGCAGGTCTAATTAAGCAAGTTTATCATACATATAAAGCTCTCGCTGGTGCCAATTACACTTGTGTGTTTCGATCTGTCATTATTGATCATGAATTTAGTTGACACTTCTATTATATAGAGAAAGGGTGAATAGCGATACTAAAATATTTCTTCTAATTAATTTCAATGTGTACAAATTCGTGCACCAGGCCACTAGTCTTTATATAAAATAACCAGTCCCATGTCATGGACTAAATTTAAGTGAGAAAGCAGTTTAATCACCTGTCATTTGGAAAAGTAAGTGATGGCTGGCAGCTTGGTCCAATCTGAAGAGGGCATTGGGAATAATCTTGCTGCCCCTCACCTGCTGATGAAGTGCAACTATGGGGAGACCCCTTATCCTGAGTCCATTCTTCTACTGAAACTTCCTGGATTTCAGTTGCACTAGGGCTTGCTTTGCCCCACTTCCTCCACTGCTATCTGGCCTTTTCTACCCTGCCCTCAGAAGTGCATTTAAAAGCCACTTTGTTCTGGAGCCCTGTTCCCCTCTTCTTTGTGTTCTTCTTCTCCATGATGGGCTCTTTTAAGGAATGGTTGCTTTTGCCATATCTGGTGGTGTTTTGATACACTTGAAGAGAGTCATGAAATGAAAACTGTAGCAATTAGAAAAATAACCAAAACACTTTCTTTAGGGTATTAAATGCTGGTTCTTTGAAGTCAATAAGTACTAGAATTTTTGACAGCTTCTTGTATTTTTTTTTAGAACTAGGGAGTAGCCTACAGAGAAGACTTCGTATATTGACTTCTTTGCTTTGGAAAATGACACTGACATTGATAATTGGTCTAAAAATGAATAAGTTAAATGAAACTTCTATCAACTTCAGAGAAATACATCAAAGCAAAAGAAAAGGAAAGACAAAAATTAAAAGAATCCTTTCCATGGACCCCAGCTGCTAATTTAATATAATTTTAGCCTGGCCATCAAGAGTCTCTATAGTCACTCTCAACTATGAAGACTGACTTCCAGAATGTGAGCAAGAAAAACCATGTCACTTTCAGAGTAGAAGGTAAGCAAATGAAAGAGGAGGGATTCCCAATCCAGAAGACCAAACTGATCTTCATGATAAAAGGTTTGTGACTTCCTATATTATTTACTTTTTCCCCATGATAGCATGATGTGTGTGATCTACACAATAAATTCCAAGGAGAGAATGAGTACTCAGGTAAACATCCAAATGTCAGGCAGAGTCCTAGCCTAGGACTGAGGAGATCCAGTCTTACTTTTGTGACTTTGTTTTCCCAGTACTCTTATTTTTTTGGGTCTCATTTTTTTTATACCTATAAAGGTTAAACAATTTTTTTTCTTTAAGGTATTAGCTATTAAAATTATACAAGGAAGGAGAATATAGCTATTCTACTTAAACTGAACTTTACTTTAGGATTTCTCTGCTCTCCTAGAGATTAAGGAAACATTAGTTAGTCTACTGGTAAAAATGAATTCAAAGAAATCTCCAGCAAGTGAATCCTTAACTCATAAATTACAATAATTGGATTTTAAAATGGTGTTTTCTAGAAAAAAGTTCTATAATGTTCTCTTAACATTATTAATGATAAACCGTATCAACTATGGCTATTTTGCATTCTTATTTCAAACCAACAACAGTGGCCTTCCCAAAAGGCTAAATTCAGTCCAAATATAAACGAGCAGTATTAAATCAGTATGAGTATAAATGATCCGTGATTCATTGAAAAATTTAAATTTACAAATGCTCAATCTGAAAGTGCTATAGATGTCCCCCTACCCAGCGTGCATATCAAAGATGTGTTACAGGTGACCCTGAGGTGAAACACATAATGTTGATAGGCTAAATAAATGGGTTGACACCGATACACAACCAACTAAGTGAGCATCGTTTTGGATTTAATGTTATTTTTCTCAGCAGGACCCACTGGGGGGGTGGGGGGAGATATGAATGATGCTGGAGTTCTGAGCTGGCCAGCAGTTTGCCTCTGAGGTGGATGAGCAGCCTCAGCAGGCATTTACTGTTTTAAGCTTTATTTTCACAGCACGGTTATTAAACACGTCATTTGCTCATTAAGTGCGTAATCTATGGCTGCCAGGTGCACACTCCTGCTAGTCTCCCTGCAGAAGGTTTTCCCTAGTAAAATGATTCTTGGCGAGAAACATTACATTAACCTGCGGTGGGAATGAACAGACGCACCGGCATCAAACCCGAGGCCAGTGTGTGAAGACAATTCATATTGTCTTCAATATGAATTCTCTGATCCTTACCTACATTTTCCTATTTCCTATCTCATTTTCCATTCCTTCGCTCTTAAGAATAAAATCAACATGGGTAACTTGGAGGAGGCCTGGATTCTCCTCTCCACTCTGACCTATTCTGTGATGCCTGACAAAGGAAATAGCCTCTCTTGGTCTAGTTTCTATAGAAACTATACTCTTATTCTGACATGTTTTTGTGATTGAGTACCTACTCTCTGCTCAGGCTGTCTGTGGGCATATGGAAGTGTCAGGTAGTGTGAAGACTTCTCACATGTGAGGAGCTTTTGAGATCCTGAAAGAAAAAAGACATGTATAGGGAAAAATTTGTAATGCTCTCTACTGTTTCATCGGCACAGGCATTGAACAAAAAGACAGTAGGTGTGTAAAACTAGATACAGTAGCCTCAGGCATTCCTCCTAAGTGAATTTCAAACATAAGTTTTGGCATCAATTTTAAAGCATTTACTCTCCTGTGTGAAGTATACTGTAAGGGTGATAAGTGTATTTAAATGGCATTTCTGGGAACAGAAGCATTTTGTGTTTCATCTGACCTTCCCGTTTCTCCTCAAAGACAAAGGGAACACTGAGGGTGTATTAATGTGGTGCTCCTGCCCATCTCCTCTCCCTTTCTACTCTTCCCCATGTAGGCGTAAGATGTGAGACTACTCTGAACTACTCTGAGTGACAGGTAAGGTGACTTTCATGGTGCCATCTCCCTGTGAAGGTGGGAGAGTAGAATTAATGTGCAAAGTTGGTCCCTAAGCAAGTTCTTAAACCTGTCTGCCCTGCGACATAGAAGCCCCCCAACTCTCTGGCCTTGAACTTTCTGAAGGCTGCATTTCTTAAACACACTAGGCAAGGCCTGACTCCAACACAGCAAGTCTCTTCTATCTGTTCCAATTCCCAGCTGGTAAGCCCATAGTCCTAACTTCAGGGAAGCGGCCCCCAGATGCTCCTACCCAGTTCTTCCCGAGGGCCATGATTCTCTTGGGCCCTTGATTCCCATTTGGTTATCAGCCCCCTTCTTCCTATTATTTCCATGAGCTGGAACTCAGAAAAAGGGTAAAACTTACATATCCTGTTTCTTTCCCACAGGTACAATGAACTGCAATAAGACATCTTTGCCTACATTGTCCCGTATGTTCTTTCAAACGGGACTTTTGAAACATATCCTGTTGCTCACATCATGAGATGGAAAAGTCAAAGTTCAAAAAAGATAAGCAACTTGCTCAAAGCCACTCAGCCGGTAAGTGGGGTTTGACTACTTCTATTGTTAAAGTAGATGTTCTTCCTTAGACAAAAACAAATAAAAATAAATCTACAACATAGGCATTGATGAAAAGCAAAGGGAAGTGGACGGGACATTCTTAGTGCTGGAAAGGGAAGGGAAGAGTGAGAGAAGACAACAGTGGCAGTGTAGAATGGCGGAGGTGAGTGATCGAATAGAGGTAGAGGAAAAAACCAACATATCGCCGCTCACTTCTCTATCTTGATCTCAGCTAGACTTGTTTCCATCTAAGTGGTGAACCAATGCATATAAATGTCATCGTGTCACAGAAGTGAAGACTTCTGACATCTTGGGAAAGAATAACATAGTACATAGTTTTATAGTTTACCTTTGTTTGACTACTGCCAAGGATGAACACTGTGTTCAAATATCTTCCCTTCTTCCTTTTGAGATACTTTCCTGCCTACACTGTTCCCCATTACCTTCTTTTTGCATATTCCCCACATGAGATATCATTCCCCACACCCGTGATATAAAATGATATAATAACATAACCTGTGACAAACTCTTAGTACCTTATCATCTTTCCCTTCTTGGATTTGTTTAAAATTTTAGAAATAAATGCTAGAAAGGGCCATATAAGAAATGCTTTTCTACAAATGAGGCTTTAGACACAGTTGCACCTGGGTAGAGAAAATGCTCTTGCTTCTGGAGATACCTCTAAAATCTGATGCTGATATTTTTAACATCTTCTTTTTGCTCTAGGCTACAAGTCACCCAGCCTCCTGTTTTGAATAATTATAATCCAATAAGTAATTAAGTTCCTCTCCTGAAGTCATTATAAGATCGAGCAGCCCCAATGATAAAGCCATGACCTTTCTTAGTTCTACCTATTTGTGGTTTGCTGTACCTTCATACCTTTTGGAGTAGGAATCCAAGTTCTTAATGTACTGGGCACATCAGGAGCTACCCAATGGTAACTGAAGAAAATAACAAAGTTACCAAAATACTGAAGGGGAGGAAGTGACAACTGTGTTGGGCACATGAGTTAAATACTATCCCAGATGGCTTTGAATCCATACAAATCCTGTACACAAAAGGGTGTTTATTTTGCATTTTATAATGAGTAAGAAGAGCCTTAATTAAAGAAGGATTTAAAAAGTGCTAGAACTGATCAATAGTCATCCATGAAATTGATGTTGGGAAAGAATGACTAAGCAAAGGATGAATAAGAGACCCTTCAGAACAAAAACATTGCCTAATGTGTCTTTTTGACCTTAGGACTACCCCAGTGCCTACTTCATATAGAGCAGAGCTGACATCATACTTTGTGAATTTGTTCTTGGAAACGAGATGGAGGCAGACAAAAGTCACAACAAGCAGATGAGCCTGCAGAACCCTTGCACTCATAATTCTGCCCGTTCCTGCGGCTGCTTGATTTAGAAACCTCATAGAAGAAGAAAAGTTCCAGGAAAACCACCAACAATCATGAGAAATGAACTCATCAGGACAGTTCTGCATCTCTCCCTTTTATCTGATGCTTCTCTGGGGTTCCTACACCACATATTAAAAACACCCAAAACAAACCAAAAGCAAAACCACAGACTCAACACTCAACATCTATTTTGCTTATTGGGAGGCTACCACAATTAAAGGTAAAAATAAGATTCCATATTATTTCCATTGCTCACGTTAAGAGGTCTACTTTGACTTCCTGTATCTTTTTTTTTGCATATGATGTCAAAACCAAGAGGTCTCTCAGTTAATTTCATATCCATGAATTCAAAATCCATATTCAAAATCATTTTCAGATAGTTTGTTCTAAAAGAGACATTTATATCTTCTGGCCAACTTTATTCTTTAATTTTCTTTCTAACCTTTTCTACCCTGTTTGCAACAAGAAGCAACAAGCTTAAGTACTTTATTTACAGTTACTGCAATTCAGATGTTTTGTGCTCCAGGAAGGAAAATTGTCAATCCCATTCTTTATGAAAAAATAGGCTTACAACCCCTCCTTTATTATCTTATTTTTGATGATATCCTATTGATCAAACTTCAGAGAAAAACCAGACTCTCAAAGCTTAAAAAGACATATGACACTGCATAAAGTTTCCATATTATCATGAAAACATCAGGAAAATGAAGAAACAGTGTAAATATCCACACTTCAGTTTTCCATGATTTTTAAAATTATGTGCTCTGTGTAGAATGTCATCATAGCCTAAATTCAGCCACATTAGTATGCAATAGAATATATTTCTGGTAAATATTTCATATGCTGGTTATATGTAATAATTTCCACTTTAAAAAATCTATTTTATAAACATTGGAAATATTTCCCTTTATAAAGACAATTTGATCACCACAGAGGATTCTGTTTTTATAGTAAAGCCTTTATTACTCAGAGCCAGATTTTTTAATATCCTGAAATAATTTATTTTTTTCTCTGGTTTGATCTTTAATAGAGGTCATCAAATTGTACACACACTCATATAGGTATAATGACTAACCAGAAATATAACTTCCAGATTACATTCTGAGGTTAGTACATTACCAACTTAACCCCAACTCTTCCAACTTTTACATGTGTATCTCTCACACTGATCAAAGCACAACATGAATAGTATTTTCAAGGCACAAGAGCACTTTAAAAAGCTCAAAGAAACTTAGTCAATGAGTTATGGTCATATTATTTTAAATTATTTTCAACTGTGAGAGTTAAACACCATCACCACTTTCGTCCCAAAGGAAACCAATGCCATTGAGGAAGATAGCCAAGAGAGCATTAGCATTTTTAGCACTGACCAACTTCTTTTCTGTAATTTGCTGCCATACTTCTAGGGGTAATCTACACTTGCATATTGACTATTAGTTTACCCACCATCACTCTCTTGCCACCTGGCTTTTGCTCTCACCCATGTATGTAAATGTCAGATACAAAGGTCATAAATACTCTCATAACCTTTCAGCCTAATGAGTATCTGCCCTATTAACTCTCTATGGGATTTGTTAGTAATTACGTCTCTTCAGCTCTAAGATAAACAGCAATGTCACTGAAATTAAGATGCTTCTTACAAGTGATTTTGTACAACTACTATAGTTAACTTTTAACGTTATACAACAAGTTCATCGGTAGACTCCAAAGGCAATGGCATCTTTATATACTTGCTGAAGTGTTTAGAGGTGACGTGAACGGATGTCCACAGTTTTATTTGAAATGCATTAAACGTTAAGTAGGACAGATGAGTAAATATGTGGCAAATAAAATACACAAATTGTTAATTATAGAATCTAGGTGGTGGATATATAGGAGTTCACTGTACAGTTTTCCTGAGCATTTGATATTTTTATAATAAAACATTAGAAGCAAAAGAATCAAAGCCATCTTTGAATCAAGGAACTATTATATTTAAAACTTTCCTTTCCTTTAAGTACTCTCCTTTTTTACCTTCTAAAAAATTATACTGTCATTGTTCTCTTATCTCTAGTACCTGGTCTTTACTCCCTCATAAAAATAAAGATTTACCTTAAATTTCAGTTTTCCAATTTCTTATTTTACTTCAAATTCGGTCCCTGGGAGTTGTGATCTAATTCTGTCTACCATATGCCAAAACTCGTACCCCAAACTACTCTTCAGCTGTGACTTCCCTCTTGAGTTCTTAACACTTTACCATATAAACTGTACATTTCCACTTTGATGTGCAACTGACCCAGCATACTTCACTGTCTCCCATTCTCCCATTCCTTTTAAAGAGTAACTTCTCAACTCACTTCCTTCTTTCTGTGTGTTTATAACCATGTTCCCAAAGACAACAACACAGTCACCTTGGACTTCACCTTGTCCCTCACTCTTCATGTCCAATTATTCACTCAGCCGCCTGCTTCTTCTTCTGAAAGATAACCATTACGGCTGTCTCTTCCATCTATTCTCACTGCCATAAATCCACATCACACAGCTTCTATCTCAGTCTTGGTTTACCACTGGATCCTCCCACTGCTCTGTTTTCACTCACTGTATCCTGCCCTTGGCCAGCGCATTATCTCATAATTACTCTATAAATCACC